GTTAATGCTATCACTAGATCTATCAGTTTTTTTTCAATCGTCAAAAATAGAAATTATATAATAGATCAGGAAGATCACGTAATACATACTGATAAATAAAAGTAAAAATTTATTTCTATTGCTGGAGTAAAAACAGTAAAAATCTGACATACTTCCATTTTTTTTTTACTGGATAAAAAATGAAACTATGTCAGATCTTCTAAAAAACAGATTTTTGCTAAAGTAAAACTGAATTTCTTATATAGATCCATTTTTTATCCAGTAAAAAAATGGAAGTATGTCAGATTTTTTAAAAACCATTTTTATTTCAGCAATAAAAACAGATTTTTACTAAAGTAAAACTGGGTTTTTTGTATAAATTCATTTTTCATCCAGTAAAAAAAAAACAGAAGTATGTCAAATCTTTTAAAAATTGTTTTTACTCTGGCAATAAAAATGAATTTTTGCTAAAGTAAAACCAGGTTTTTTGTATTGATCCATTTTTTATCCGGAAAATATTCCAAATAAAAAACGGATCAATACAAAAAACTGGATTTTTGCCTGATATATTTGAAAATTTTTTTTTACAGGGTAAATGAAGTTGTATTTTGCTTTGTTGAGTTTTAATTCAGTCTTTCTTATTTATTGAAATACTAGGTTAAGATATTGTAAATGTTCTTTGAAGATACATGAGAATATATTAATATTGTCAATATAGACTATGATGAATTTTCAGTTATAATCTCCAAGCATATCATCCATTGCTTGTTGAAAGGTAGTGGATCCATTACATATACCAAAGGGCATAATATTAAATTCAAATAATTCTTTACGAGAGATAAAGACAATCTTTTAAATACTATCAGGATGCATTTCAATTTGCCAGAATTCATTATGAGATCAGTTGATGAAAACCATTTTGTTTTTCCAAGAGCATCTAACATTTTATCAATTCTTGATAAGAGATAGGCATCTTTCTTTGTAATACTATTGAGCTTTTGATAGTCTACACAAAATCTTTTCTTATCATTCTTTTTTATTGTTACTATGATGAGAGAAGTCCAGAAGCTTGTTGAAGATTGAGCAATTCCAGCATTAATCATCTTATATATTTCTTCAGAAATAAATTGTTAATCAGGTATAGATTAAAGATGGCGCGGCAACTGTTGCAACATGGTGACAAATAAAGCATCACCTAGTTGCAACTAGTTGCGGCTTATAAAATTTTGGAGTTGCAACGTGTTGCAACAGGTGACAAATAAGCGTCACATACTTGCTGCGCCATCTCTAGTATAGATGCTCAATAAGATCTTTGCTTGATTGATTATTTATCTCCAATATCGATGATATATTGAACTTTATTAATTCATCCAAGTTTATGCAAATATATTATTATTTTCTTCCAGTAATTTGTTTAGAGCTTGTTCTTGTTCTTTAGTTAATTCTTGTTGTTCTACTGATTTGTCGCTTTCTTTTTCTTGGTTAAGAAAGAATGTGTTGATTTTTTCATTGTCAGTTAATTCAAATTTATTAGTTCCATGAGTAGATTCTTCAAGTTCTTGTCAAGTAGGAATAGGTTTCATTCTTTCAATTGATGCAAGTTGTAAAAATACTGCTTGAGCAATTCGTTCTTGTAATTGAATGGTATATGGAACTTGAGAGTTATTGTATAACAATACTCTAATATTTCCAGTATAACCAGAATCAATAGTTTCAGCTTTTACTTCAATTTCTTTCTTTGCCAAAGAGGAGTGAAACATAAGTTGGCATACAGTTCCAGGAGGTATTTCAAGTGTGATGAATAAATTAATATAGATGATTTATTGAGATTATATTTTGATTGGTTCTTTTCCAATATATTTTACATCAAATTCAGCATCATTTTCATGAGCTTTTTGAGGTATAGCACCTTTGTTATCATCATTATAAATTTTGATAGCCATGTTTGCTTTTTTTAAACTGGTAACTCAACGGAGTCAATGATATAGTAATATTCAAGTATCTCATCAAGTTCATCAATCATTTGATTTTAACTTTAAAGCCAGTTGTTGTAAGGAAGTGCTCATGCTTTCAGCTTGAATTAATATTTCTTCAAGTTCAGAATCTGATTTTGAATATATTGGTGCTTTATTCTTGTCGACGAATAGGATGGTTTTTGGAATTTCAGATTCTCAACAGTCTTCACATTGATTGCTATCACAGGGGATCAAACATTCAGTGTATAATTTGATATTGATATATTTCAGTTTAGCGAGTTGTATACATTGTTTTGGTAATATTTGTTGATAAATTTGTTGGAATATTTCATTGGGTGAAACTTCTTCAGAACTGGTATATTGGATTAGTTCTATTTGTTCATCAATATTTTCAGATCGAATGTACCAGGATAGGATAGCTTTTTCAATTTTGTTACAAGTGAGATATATATCTATTAGAGATCCTTGTTCTCTCAGTTTCTGGATCCTTCTTGGTTAAACCAATAGATGCATTGTTCTTCATATGTGCAAAAGTATTTCTTGTTATAGCATCTAGTAATATATATATATTTTGCTTCATCTCAATATTCACAAACTGTACATTGAGGTAAGTTTAGTTTTTTTCTTCATGACATTGTTCACATGCTCTAGGAATAGTTCTATTAACTAGACAATATGCATTTTCAAAATATTTGTCTATATATTCTTTGTATTTATTGCATTGCATTATATATTCTGATTTAGTATTCCTATGAACTGAACTGAACTGGACTTTTGCCTGGATTTGAATTTAGTTCAAAATTCAAACTGAACTCGAACTGAACTTTGACTTGTGTTCAAAAAAGATTCAAAGTTCGAATTGAACTCGAACCAGACTTTCATTAGAGTTCGAGTATGATTTAATGTTTAAACCAAACTTGAACTGGACTTCCATTTAAGTTTGAGTATGGTTTGATATTTGAACTGAACTCGAACTGGACTTTCATTTGAGTTCAAGTAAGATTCGATATTTAAATTAAACTTCATTCAGATACAATGTTTGGATTGAACATGAACCAGAACCAGATTTTTAGGTGAGTTCATGAAAATTCACACCAGATCTTTGAATTAACTTATAATTTCTTAGTTCTATCAGCCTTTTTTAGCTAAATTCAAAATTAAGTTAGCTTTGCAATTTCTAGTAATTAATATATAGTTTAAAATTATTTATAATGTACCAAGCATAACATGTCAAAATTATAATATTTTTATTTTTCAGAAGCATAAATTATTTAGAAAATATGGAAAAATATAACATAATATTTATTTTATTTATGGAACCATCTTCCAAATCGAAGTTGTACTATATCTCCCAAATCGATATCTTCTTCTTTTTCATACCATTCATTCTTGCTATCATTCCACACATTTTCAGCTTCACTTTTTTTTTCATCATCTTCATCTGTAACCTCACTCTTTTTACTTTCAATCACACTCTCCTCTTTATCGAACTCATTTTCTACTTCTGCTGTCTCACCCTCCACTTCTGCTACCTCATTCTCCTCACTATTGATTATATTCTTCCCAATAGCTTTTTCACTCTTCTTATCTGCTACCTCATCTTTCTCTTTATTAATAGTCTTCTTTTTTTGTTTTTCTGCTTTCAAAAAAAATACAAGCACTTTGGATTACTCTCTGAGCTGTTTTTCTTTTGCTTTTTCAATTCTTCATCTCTCTTTCACTTATCAGCTACTGTCACAGTTTTTGTTGCCAGATTCTGTGATCAGACAGCTTGATAGCCAGTTGAAGAAACAACAGTGATTTCATGTTTGTCTCACTCAGAAAAGCATCACAAAGTGTTTGTATCCAATTCAATCAAAATATCATATTCTAAAAAAAAAATTTTCTCCTATAAATTCTCCTTCCATATATTCACCTTCTTTATTTCAAATTTCTCTTGTACACATACAGGTCCAGACATATTTCAAAAAGTTTTTGTCTGTGTGAGCATGTTTTGAATAATTGAGAGCAGTATATGCTTCACATAGACTCAGTTGGTAAAGCAAATGTATTGCTATTTCTCTATAAGTTATATCAAAACCAACTGTTTCTTTTGCTCCATATTTGTCACTATCCAGTCTGAGCAGGTCATGTTATTCGAGCAATTTAGCTACATTCTCTACTAGCTCTTTGAGAAATAAATGCATTATATAATTATATAACAAATTTATACTTGTCCAAATAAAGATAATAACAAGATAATTATAGAAAAATAAGTGATATGAGAAAAAAAAAGAATAAAATAGAAAGAAAAAGAAAGAAGTAGAATATTATCGAACTAGACACGTAATCCAAATATTATTATGACCATTCTTTTATTATTACTGCGTCTTTTATTCACATGTTTTCATATGGAATAACTGACAATATTGAATCGGTGACAATATCATTATGACTAATTTTATCATGTCGCATCTTTTGTTTACGTATTCTTTTGAAATTATGGTTAATATTAAATCAGTGACAATATGACTTATCTCTACTATAATTATATTTGTCAAAATTCATATATATCATAAAGATAATATTGATAATATGTATTAGAGATGACGTAACAAGTATGTGATACTTATTTATCATCCATTGCAACATGTTGCAATTCCAAAATTTTATAAGCTACAACTAGTTGCAACTAGATGATACTTTATTTGTTATTACATTATAACAGTTGCTGCATCATCTTTAATATGTACTACATGAATCTTCTGGTCCTAATAACTCTTGAAGAGCTATTTTAACATAATACACTCATTGAATAAGTGTTTCATCTTCAATTATAATATTTATATAATCATAAGATCTTTCAGCATTGATAATTCTATTAAGAATATTATGCTTACTAAAAATGATACAGTAACTGTTGCAATGTGATGACAAATAAAGCATCATCTAGTTGCAACTAATTGTGACTTATAAAATTTTGAAGTTGCAACATGTTGCAATGGGTGACAAATAAGCATCACATACTTGCTGTGTTATCTCTAATGCTTACCAATTCTTGCAATCCTTTTATTTATATCATATTCTATTCTAGACATATTTAATAATTATATGAAATTTAATAGAATAGTATATTTAGAGTTATTAGACCTAATATTCCTATAAACTGAACTGAACTGAACTTTTATCTGAATTCAAGTTCAATTCAAAACTTGAATTAAACTCGAACCAGACTTTGGCTTGAGTTCAAGAAAGATTCAAAGTTTGAACTAAATTTGAACTAAATCATTATATGAGTTCAAGTCTGATTCGAATTCGATTAAAGATCAGCATATAATATCATATACCAATTTGTAGCTCTAAATATAAGTTATAACTTTATAATTTATGATATTTAGTAAGAATTAAAAGTTTACATAGTAATAACTAAAGTATTTTTATTTTTATGTTTATTAAATTTAATCGTAAATGTTAT